CCTCGGTACATCTCAGGAATCTTATAGTCTCATAGTCTGTACTGCATAGGAAGACTTATTTTTTCCACCAACCTGTTCCTTTTGCATGTGCTTCCACCACTCTGTATGTAAACTGCTTACAATTTCTGTTGATGACTATGACTGACAGGCCGTGTTTGCAGTCTGTCACAGAGATCTGCTTTCGTTATTTTGTTCTCTCCTATCAGCTCTGCAGAGGAGCTACCCTGTACTCTTTTAGCTGTCCCCCCGCAGGTCGCACTACGTAGCCCATATGCTGCATATTGCAGGAATTATGTTGACTGTGTAAAAAAGGAGTATTTTCCCATGGACTTTAGTAAAGCATTTAATTTTTGTGGATCTTTGTGCTTATTCCATGGATAACAAATTACTTCATTAGTCTTCTTTCTACATTTTCATGGAAAATTGAAAAAGGTGTTTCTTGGTAGTTGTACTGAGTCTGACTTGGGTGCAGTTAATTTTCTTTACAGCATCCAGTATGATGCTGTGATTCAGATTTGTGGCTAAAACAGTGTTGATAACACACTGGTCTTCTGGCTCTTGTTGAGCAGTGCTTGCGCAGTGTTGAGGCTTTCTCTGTTTTCCAGAGATCCAAACTGACCACAGAGGTATGCTCCACAATAAAAACCGGAGGGGATGTTTTATCTTCCAAGGTGGGTGTTGCTCAGGCTGAGCATCAGTCTGCTTCTGAGCTTGGTGAGTGATTGCTTTTGCATCACTGGCGTGACCCTGCTCCCTTCACTTATCTTGACGCATGAGTTTTGTTACATTTGCTTTTCCTGTTCGAGGGCAGGGAATGAGCAAGCACTACAGGGTGTTCAGCTGCCTCTGGGGTCAGCCCTCCACAGGCCTTTTAACGTCCCCCTCTTCCTCCTCCTTTTCTTGAGCTTTTATTGCTGAGCGTGACATTATGTGGCAGGGAATATCCCTTTGGCTGGTTCGGGCTGTCCTCCTGTGTCTGCTCCCAGCTCCTTTCCCACCCTTGTCCTACTTGTGGGGTGGGTGCAGGGGAGCAGAGTCAGGGGAGAAAGGAAAGCCTCAACACTGCAAGTATGGCTCAGCAATAGTCAAAACACTGGTGTGCTATCAACACAGCATTTCACTCACACATCTAAAATACAGCACTGCATGGGCTGCTATGAAGAAAATTAACTCCATCCCAGGCAGACCTTGTACAGTTGTGATTTCAGTAACTGTGTCATGAGATCTCAGTCCAAAGATGTGCATTTACTGGTATATGGCTTTTACTATGAGGGTGATCAAACACTAGAACAAGTTACCCAGAAAGGTATGGGTATCACCCTTGGGGGTGCTCAGGATGTGACTGAACAAGGGACAGAGTTCCCCGCCATCGCTGACCCTGCTTTGAGCTGAGGGCTTGGGCTAGGTGGTCTCCAGAAGTGCTTTCTGTGCTCAGCTTTTCTGTGAATAACTTCCATATGTGTTTCACAGTGTTTTTATGTAAGAGAGCATTTATTAATGTTTCAATTCTGATTTTAGAATGTGGTAGGAAAAGCATACCAGGCCATTTCTCCTGTCCTTTTCTGTATCTGCCTTCTTTCCAAAATTCAACCTACGTAACAGGTAGCATTCAAAACAACCTGTAAAATCAGGGGTGGTTCTTTGTTTCTAGTGATTCTCTGTCAAAAGAGAAGATAAGAAACTTTGACTTGATAGTTTATAGAGTGAATAAACTTTCAAATTATCTTGAATTTGAGAGACAGTACAATTTGAAAACTGAGAAGACTGGAAAATAATTTTGTTTCAACTGGTAGATTAATCTGTATTGTGGCAGGCTGAACAATATGGGTGTAATGAAAATTCTTCGTCTTTATAATTTAACAGTGTATAGAATGGTGGTGTTTAGTTCTGCTTTCAGGTTTCTTTGTTATTTGAAATATCAGCTGTTGGCATAACTCTCAATTCATTCTTTAAGTATTAAAAGAAGATACTGCTCATGATAGTGAGATACTTTTAAAGTCATCCAAGTAGCCAAGACCTGGGGAACCTAACAAGCCCTATGCTAAGGATTTTAAAGTTACTAAAGTAACTGTAATGTAGTATTGAGATCCATCTTTATTTCTGTATATCAAACCAAGTTTAATGTTTGGGGTTTTTTTAAAATCCGTGCTTATTTGTACCTTCCTTGATGCATTTTGTGTAAATAGAATTTCTGTTGCTGTCAGACACTGAAGAAGGCTATGATTCATTTTCCTGTCCCCTAGATAAGTTTTGTGGTCAGTCTGATTTCAGTCTTGACATTTTACATGTTAGATAACCCTGATCACTTGCAAATTCACATTCTGTAGTGTACTTGACTAGAGATATCTGGTATCTTTGTGTTTGCAGTGTACAGTTTGTTCAAGCATTTGATCTGTCATAGTGGTAGGGCAATATATAAGTGACCATCTGAATAAACTCCACTTGCAGGAGGAGAGGGCTGCAGAGGCAAGCCCTTAGTCCTTCTGTCAGGGCATAAAGTTTTAGCCTACGTGGTGCTACAAAAGGAGTCTTCAAATACAACTGAGTTTATTCTTCAGCCCATTTTATGAAATTGGAAGAAGTTAGGCATCTGCTCCTTATATAGAGGAACTCCTGGCATTTTCAAGGAAGGAGAGGAGGCATTGACAAGTCAAGGTATTCTTAATCTGATGAGTGAGAAAAATTATACAACAGTCTATTACTTACTACAGGATGTTGGCAGTAGCTATTCAACATGCAAAATATAATGACTGAGTCATTATTTTCCGTAGTGTGGAAAAGTTTAAATTTTTATTCAGAAAATGGCACATGCAGATTGCATCTCAGTAAAAATTTAAATAAATTATTGGATATCAGTAATACTGAAAGAGAAATTAAGGTCAATCTACATACCTGAAAAAAAATATTTCTGGGAAGATTATTTTATCAAGTGTGCACTAGTTCATAGCTTTAGAAAGTGAGACAGAAAAGTGAACAAAGGTGTCTTGCTATAGCTTTATTTAAATGTTTTTGAGATTTATTTTTACAGTATCAGGTGTTGTTCCTGTGTTGGAAACAACTCTATCCAACTGTAACAGGTCAAAGATTTCATTGCTGCACATCTTGTTGATTATCTTTACACACATAACTAAGTATGCATGAAGTGAGAAGACACACTCAGTGTATTTTTGTTTTCTACTTAATTATTTAGTTCCTTTTTTTATGTTGATATTTTGTGTATGGATGATTAATTCCTATTGATGTTCATGCTGCTGTTCTTTATTACAGTGTAAATTTCAGTAACTCCAAAAACACATTAGAGGAACTCAAATGCCTTGAATTTCAGCTTGTGTGTGTCTCTCCTGAACCTTACAAATGCAACTCAGTCTGAATCTGGTGATTAGAATGAATGCTTCCCTGCAGGGGAATGCTACTGACTGAGTATTTAACTTAACAGGATAGCAGTCATTTCCAAGTATAAGCTGTATAAGCTCTGCTACAAACCTTGTCTGTTTTCTATTCCTGTCCTCTTAAAAAGAAACTACTCTGCACTTGCTCTATCTCCCATTCCCCTTCCCTAGTTACTGTAGGACTTATTGCCAATGAAATAGCAATTTTCAGCCTGGTTGGAGAGCTGGTAATGCATGTGTGCTACTTGAGTGTGGAAAAAGCCGTGTCCTCATTTGGCATTTTAAGCAACTAATTAAAATATTTTGCAGCGTTTAGAATTAATACATTCTGAATACCATTTTGTGAACTTTCTTGACTTCAGTATATTAGTAAATTCTCATTGCTACAAATAAGATTATGGTGTTTAACACTTGATTTTATTAAAACTTTGTGAGAAACTGTAGTTGCATAGAAAAGCAAATTCTTAAACAGAGGAAAAACTAACCTGTTTAACATTAGAATCCTCTTTTTCTTATTGGAACAGTATTGCTGACATCATTGAGCACTATAGAAAAGAACAGATTGTTGAAGGTTATTACCTTAAAGATCCTGTTCCAATGCAGGTAAGATTTCATTTCTGAGCATTTGTTGTTGAAGACGCAGGCCTAGTCATCATCAAATCAATTTGTGAACTGAATTACAGCAGAGATACCAATAGTAGTTAAACAGCATCATCTCCAATTTAATTCTTTCAGCTTGTGTGTTTCTTTTGTTTTATCCTCAAATGCATTCACTTGCCAAAGGTTGGCTTGTAGTCAGCATAAAATATGGTAAGCACTGTCTGTCCTCTGCTCTGTGCCCCTAGCTCTGGTCCCTGTTTCAACCACGCTGTACGTTAGTCCTAGGTTAGGGGGATGATTGCAGCGCTTGTTCTGGAGCGTTCTTGCCCCATAGCAGAAGTTCATCCTAAGAGACCACTAGTAGTAAGAACACCACATAATCTACCGTTTCATAAGCTTATAGCTAGTTATAAAGTATACGTATATATTTTGTTCCCTCAGTTCCCAAACTTTCCTGTTTCAGTGGTTAGAAATTTGCCTTTAATTTCCTCCCTAAGTAGAGTTATGGTCAATTCTTACCCCTTTGTGAGATCTGTCATACTAATGAGAACATTTCTTGTATTCTCTCTTAGTTCACTAAGCTAAGCATACCAAAGCTGATCCTGTTCCCTTGTAATGTCCTCGTAGTTGCCCTGCTGCTGCCAATTTTGGTGCAAGCTTGCCTTTCGTGAATGTGGTGGACCAGAATGGTTTAGAGTACCATGTCATGGCTAATTCCCATTCTGTCTGGAAAATAGTTAGAGATATCCTAGAATAGGTGTCATTTTCTGTGGTAGGTTGACCCTGGTGAGTAGCTAAGGACCCACACCTTTTCTTGCTCACTCCCCTGTCCGTCGGGATGGGGGCAAAAGCAAAAGACCTCCTGGGTTGAGATAAATACAGTTTAATAAGCAAAGGAGGGGTGGTGGGTGTGTTGCAAGGGCAGTCAGTCACCACCTGCCACAAGCAGACTGATGCCCAGCCGGTCTCTGAGCAGTGGTGACCCAGGAAGACAGCCCCACCCCAGCCAGTTTTATTGCTGATCATGATGTTATGTGGCAGGGAATATCCCTTGGATCAGTTGGTGTCATCTGTCCTGGCTGTGTCTCTCCCAGCATCTTCCCACCCAAGCCACCTTGCTTAGAAGGGGAGCAGAGTGGGGAATGGAGAAGGTCTTAAGGCTGTGCAAGCACTGATCAGCAAGAGCTAAAACACTGATGCATAAAACAACACTGGTTTAGTCACAAAACCGAAACACAGTACCATACGGGCTGCTGTGGCAAAAGTCAACTCCATCCCTGCCAGACCCAGTATGTTGTCATAGCCATGTTATGTCATAGCTCAGTCCTGTGAATGACCCAGCTGTTTATCATTTTCTGTTCTCTAGTGGTAAGTATTAACAGGTGTAACTTTTATGTTGTACTAGTAGACTTACAGCTTGTTACTCCAGTCTTTCCTATCAGTGCTTCCCAGTTGTTTGCTGCTGTTAACTCTTGCTTGGTAATGTTGTCGGGACAAAAAGCGGATATGAATGGAGACTGCTCCGTGAAAGGCTTCACTAATAACATTTCTCATGCTCCATCATTCCTCTTGAATCATGGCAGTAATTGTCTTCATTTTAGCTTTTTGCATATGCACTTACAGTTCCTGTGTTAATAACCTTCTCTGCACTGACTAATTTTCCATGAGAGACTACTTCAGATTCTTTTAACCTATTCAGACATGTTTGTCACTTTGTTTAAAAATCTTGTGGTCAGTGGTGCCATTTATGTTCAGCTTTGTGTTACCTCCCTTCTACATGCTACCACGCTCTATGTTTTTGAGGGGAAAAAATTCAAAAGTCATGCATGCTTTTAGGGTTAGTTTCATTGAATTCCTGTGTCTAATAAGAAATTTACTTAAAAATATTTGTCACTAGAGCTGTTCTTTTGTGCACTGTGCCTTGCATAGCTATGTGATGGAAATTATCTTGAGCTCATATACATCTGGACATTGCTTCCATTGTAGGTCTGGTAATTCCTGTTAGCATTACCAAAGTAGTTTTCATCTTGCTTTTGTCATGTTGTTCAAAATCATAATTGTTGTAGATATATGGGTAGGAAGAAAAGTAGAATATTTAGTATGAGCCATACATGTTACTTTTCATCTCAATGCTGTTCTTGCTGCTTGACCGTTTTGCTTTTCATGTTTTCTTAATGGCTAAAAGAACTTCTGCTGATCAGCTTACTTGGTAAGGTCAAACTTGGCTTGGCCTTTGACAATTCTCATTTGTTACTTGCGTTTCCAGACCCAAAAATTTTCTGTGTGAATTTATCCTTTTTCTATTTCCTGTTTCTGCTTTCTTCTCTTGTCTTGAGTTCTACTGAATTAGGACATGTGAGTTCTAATGAGATTAATGAGGGACTGTGCAACTTTGAGTGAGTTGGTTTGAATTGTGATCTGCACCATTCTTGTTGCTTCAGAGTTTATTCATGGTTATTCAGTCCCCAGAGCTTTGATAGAAGACGGTTAGAAGCTAGATAAATCTTTAAAGGCTTGCATAAATTTACCAGAAATCCTGGTCAAAGATGCTGCTGAAAAAGACACAATGTTACTTTGTAGAAGTTGGTCTGTGTTGAAAACTTTCTTCTTCTATCTTAAATCTGGAAATATGTAAATACTTATATTGCATTTCTAGCAAGGGTAGTTTATGAAAAATTACATTGCTTTATTAAAATGCATGAAAGCAAGATAGTAGTTAAGCTGGTAGCATTCAGTAAGATGATCCTGGTTGCAGCTTCATAGTATGCAATTTTTTAATGGCAATTTCTGAGCTGAAAATATGTTTTTCTTCCATGTTTCCCAGCACCAAGAACAAGTGTTTAATGATACAGTGGATGGAAAAGAAATCTACAATACAGTTCGTCGGAAAACAAAGGATGCTTTTTATAAAAATATTGTCAAAAAAGGTTACCTTCTGAAAAAAAGTGAGTTATTTTTACTTCTATGAATTCTTTTTCTAAAAAAAAAAAAGTGGATATGGATCACAGAATCATAGAATATGCCAAGTTAGAAGTGACCCATAAGGATCATCAAGTGCTAACTTCCTGCTTCCTCAAAGGACTGTCTAAAACTAAACCGTATGACTAAGAGCATCATCCAGATGCTCCTTGAACTCTGACAGGCTTGGTGCAGTGATGTTTCCCCTGGGAAGCCTGTTCCAGTGACTAACCACCCTCTTAGTGAAGAACCTTTTCCTAATGTCCAAACTGAACTTGCCCTGACACAGCTTCATTCCATTTCCTTATGTCCTATCACTGGTCACCAGAGAGAGGAGATGAGCACCTCTCCCTCCACTGCACCCCTTGAAGAATTTGTAGACTCTGGTGAGGTCACCCCTCAGCCATGAGGTTGCTCTTCAGCCTTCTCTTCTCCAAGCTGAACATGCATACTTAGTGAATTTAGTAGAGTAGTGGTGCTAGAAAGGACAAAATTGAAGTGGGCAAAATGTTCTAGAAAGTGTGTGAAGAGTATGAAATATCTCTTAAGTAGTACATGAGTAGAAGAACATGACACATAATACTATCATGTGAAAATGTTGATTGTCAGTGACTCTGAAAAAATCAGTGCACAGCACAAGAACTAGGCATCCTTCTCAAAGGTAGCATTCAAAGTCATGAAATTAAGTATATTTTCATTAAAAATGTGTGTATTTAATATGTAAATCATTAAATTCTAGCTGATAGAGTAGGTTAGAGAGAGCAAGGATAGTATAAATCTTTGGAGATCACAGCTGGTTTAATTTTGTTATTCCAAGGTAGGTCATATGTTTTAAATCTTAAATTTAAAATGTATATTCTTCTGTGCAAGATACATAGTGACTTTTTCAGGGTTCTAACACTGGCACAGTCAACATACCATACAATAAATACATTAAAAGCTGACTGCTTGACTCATCTCAGTATAATCCTGAAGAATTGAGTACATCTTTGAAGTCTGAGGAAGCTCGTCCCTTACCAAGTGTTATACTTCTGCTTTTTAAAAGATCAACATTAATGGAAGCAGAAATTCTAACTATAAATAATAAAATTTCTGCAAATGACAGAGACCATAACTAGGAGGATAAGTTACAGATAGTAATCTGGATAGCAACCAAAAGTGAGAAAGAAGGTATGATTTTAAATATAGCCAAATATAAAGGACACGTTAAAAAACCCGAACTACCCCAAACTGTAGACTCTCTGAATAGAACAAGGAAAGCATCTCTTCTATTGAGAAGGCTGATCCTGAGAGGAGATGCAGAGCAATGTTGTAGAGTAAGGAATCAAATAAGAATGAATTGAAAACCTTTAGCTAAAAGAGATAATGGGATACTTTAAATGTGCAAATCAGAGTATTGAGTAGGTATAGAGAGATGTACATATCTCCATATGGTGCAAATTCAGGAAAATCACTCTTCCATCTAGAAGACGGAGTGTAGTAAGTGGATGTCAGATTTGTCTTTTCAAAACAGTGCTTTTACTCGTTTATTGGGGCCCATGGTGGATTTATGATGACCAAAATATAAAATTAAGGCTGAAAGCTTTTTCTAAATGGTACTGTAACGTATGCATTAATTAGTTGCAGAAAGTTCCTAATCCATTCTCGTTCAGAGGACATTTTCTCTGAAAGAAGTGGAACCAGCCAAATTCTTAGATATGGTTGCATTTGGGGCACGGTTCTGATTTAAGTTTGCATATAACATATTCCCATTTCTGTTCTTCAGCCATACTGTTTTAAGATACTGTAATGCAATCTGCTAAACATTGGTCAGAGTTTAGGAGTAACTTTCTTATGTCAGGACTCTATTTCTTAATTAAAATTGCAATAAATGGGATCCAGAGCATCATTATTTGCAAACTGTGTAGATACAGTCTTTAACACTGACAGCAACTCGCTGTCCAGGCAGCTCATACGCACTTGCTTAATCCTGTTGAAATTAGTGAAAATGTTTAGAGAACCTTTTGCAACTCTACCTGCATCTATGAAGGGGGTCTAGTTTTAGCCACATGTTGCATAAAATTGAGTATGTATACTGATGATATCACTTAAGTTTGATTACGTATACATTTTTCTTGTCTGCAATTTGATAAAAACTTTACTGCCCTCTTTTGTTTTCTTCATTTACAAAATGTACATTTTCTTTTAAACAGTATTGTAACTTTTTGCTTGGCTCTTCTACAGGTAAAGGAAAGAGATGGAAAAACTTGTACTTTATATTAGAGGGAAATGATGCCCAGCTTATTTATTTTGAAAGTGAAAAACGAGCCACAAAACCCAAAGGACTAATAGACCTTAGTGTGTGTTCCGTCTACGGAGTACATGACAGTTTGTTTGGCAGGTAGGACGCTGCCTGTTACTGTCATACATGCAGCAGGAGAGTTGACTGCTCATTTGAGACAGGTACAAGATTCGGGCAATATGTCACTGGTGACCGACTAGCCCTGGATTGCATTGTTCATTGGTATGAACCAAGAGCCTGTAGTAGATGTGAATTGCAAGAGCATGCGTAGACCAATATAGCTGATGAAGAGTAATTTGTTTAGCCATGGCAACTCAATTGCTGGCAAGTGTACATAAACAGCTTCTAGTTAGAAATTTTAGAATTTAGTATTAAAGTTTTATTGTGAAATAAGATGTGATGATGATTCAAGTTTTTTTGCATTGTCATTTTTTAATACTGAGTGCATTAATTGTTCCATGTTTCATTTTGCAGAATTTAGAGATTATGAACTGAGGGTTTTAATCCTTTTGAAATAAGAATCTACATTCTTTTGATAGGTATTTGAAAGCTATTAGACCAATTTAGCAGTAAACTAGTTCCTATAAGTCAATATCCTCAGAAATTGTTTTTTCACAATTACTATATTCAGAGATAATTTTGACATCAAATCTTATTTACTGTAATATTTTGACATTCAAACTATGCCAGCTGCAAGGGATGTGATTATCAGCAAAGAAGTTAGGGATCAAAAGTCTTTCAGATATCATTGGTAATTAACAAGAAAGAATTTACGTATTTGTTCATTGGTAGTTACCAAAAAAAGTCCACTGTCCTCTTTTATAATGTCATATAGAAGAAACAGGTACACTTACTCCTGCAAGTGGTAGATAGAAATTCTCGTTATCACGTGGATCTTAATGGTTATTAAAAAATGATATATAGTCAACTTGAAGTTTTGTCACAAGAATAACTAAAAGACAAATGCTTGAAATTAGTGGCGTTTCTTAAACTGCAAAGACTGGTGCTTTTGTTTGATGGTTTGGGTTTTTTTTAAATCTTTTTTAACAGTTTTGAAAAATCCATTAAATGAATGGAATGAGGTACAGAGTACCATAACAGCAACAAAAAAATTACTGAAATGTTCCTTATGTAAGTTGGCAATTATGCCGGATGCTTGGGTGTATGTTGTAAACAAGGAACATGTTGGTTAACAGTGCCTGTCTCTTAAACAGCTTTTAAGAAACGCTGTGCTGTGAGTTAGTGTAGTTGGACAGTAAGCGATAATACACATGGGTAGGATGAGATGCATAGTTGCACCAGCTTAGGCAGCTGTTAGTGAGGAACTGTAGCTAAGTTCCTCCTGCATTTTGACTAGGTGGCAAAAACCTCCTTTGCGCTGTTCTCAGAAGTATGATGGAGTTTGTAGCTTTGCAGGGTTCTTTGGTAGCAATGGTTTAATTAGCCCCAGACCTGGCCACTTCCTGCTCTACCCCACCCTTCCGAGGCATGGCCACAGAGTGCTATGTCAGTGTTTCTCCAGGCCCTGGAACAGATGAGGGAACTGAAGACTGAAACTGCAAATGGAATAGGATCATGTAACGCTGGTTTTGGCAGAGCTAAATTTCCTTGAGCACAGTGCAGAAGGTCATAAGTGAAGTGTGCAGTTTAAATAGCTTGTAATTTAACAACACGAAGTATTTTTGATTGACTTTTTGGCAAATCAGTGGAGGTACATAAAATGTCAAAGACACTACAGTTGCATTTAAGGTTGTAGAGGTTTGTGTCACATTCAATGGTTAGTATGTGATCCGTACATATTTTATTGGTTGCAAGAGCCATGGTACACGTTCAGATTGGGGATTCCTTATGTTAATCTTGTTTCCTGAACTTCTGAAAGAATAAATCCTTAATGTATGATTAATTGGTTGGGAACTAATGCTGAACCACTCTGGCTTTTAAAGTATCTAGGAGGAGTCCCCGTTGACAAGTCCTTTCTGTTACCAGGTGGCTATTTTTTTGCCTTGACTGTAAGTCAGCATGCATGCCCATTCAGTACAGGCCATTGTAAAAGTTTCTTAATATTCCAAAATAAATGAGCTGTACTGAAGTCTGATCTTCTTAAAATGACATAGTAAATTCAAAACAAAATGCAGCTTTGAAGCACATGAGAAATTTTCTAGTTGGAGTTCTTCCTCTTTCCATGTGTGATGATGCTACATGCATGCAAACAAAAATTGATGCAATGTTCAGTGCTCCCTACGGACAAAAAGCAGAAATGTATTACTTCAGTATAAGCTTTGTTTTGGCACCGATCAACAAATGCAGTGTCTGTTAATATTGCGAAGATTAATAAAACGTGTTTTTTTTGTTTGTTTGTTTTTCAGGCCAAACTGTTTTCAGATAGTAGTTCAGCACTTTAGTGAAGAGCATTACATCTTTTACTTTGCAGGTGAAACTCCAGAACAAGCACAGGTGAGAGCTTTTGCTGGTAAATACGATACCAAAAAGACATTTTTCGTTCTGTGGTGCTTAATGATATTGCCCTTCTTAAACAGGAAGCAAGCGTATCACAAATAGTTAGTGGCTATGTCTATATTAGCAGGTGTTACAATGGAGTAGTAGCAGATCTGTAAGGGGAACGATTAGCAGTGAGAGTCCAGCACCTACATTATCTGCACTTGGGGGTTTTACTTTGGACAAGTTCCAGTCAGGTCCCATGGACTGAACTTCCATTATTTTACAATGTATGTTTCTGGAAAACATTTTTTTGGAAGCAGTTCAACTCAGAAAAATAATTTACTCTCCAAGACTTACATGTTATAAACCAAAACATGGTAAGTGGGAGTTTTCCTTTAAAGGCGTATTCCTGATACAAACTAAAATGCTAATGCACATGTGTGTGCTCAGTGACCAAAGTATATTGAAAGGCTGCCTTTTGCAGTTATTTGTCCTGTCCATAAATTGGTGGTTTTTCATAGTCTTGGGCCTGGATCATGCACAAAAAGTAAGGTTTTCTGGTTTTAGTTGGTATCCTTTAGTTACAAGCTCTCTAGCAGTTACGTTTGCTGATTAAGAATTGAAGGGTAGGAGCATAATTATCTGAAATTCACTCTCGAGCAGGAGAGTGTATCTAAGGTGAGGCAGTGTCCTTACTTATTAAGTTTACAGCTCTGAAAGTTCACAACTCAAATACACCTGTTGCATCAGAGGTTAAGCATTGCATTTGATTTTATCTGAATGGAATTAAAGCTGTTTAGAGCATGTGTAATAGACTGCTATTCACTAGAGCATGAATGCAGTATAAATTCAGTATTATTCTTGTATATAAAGGAAAGCACAAATTTTCCTGTTAAATTAATACAAGTTTATGAAAGTCACTGAGACGACAGGATGATGCAGTGGCATTTGTCACACAACTCTTAATGTACTGTCTTTTGAGAAGCAGCATGCTGTATAGTAATTGAGAATGTGTACATTAATTTCCACACTCATACATTAATTTTTGTTACACCTGCAATGTCTTTTGTGTTCTAGAAATTGAAAGAATTAAGAATGTGTAGAAGGCAGAATATCCTGTCTTGTTCCCTGAACATTTGATATAATCTGCTTTTGATTTTGATCTGCTTAACAGGCTGTTCACTGCATTTATACAGAATAAAGCGGTTTTTTAATAATATGGCTTTGGCCCAGGAAAGTTTATAGGTATTTATTTTTGAGAAAGTTCAGCTTTCTTTACTCTGTAACATTTCATAGAAGAATAGTTTTATGTGTGTATTAAGGCTTTCTTAGAATGTGATAAATAAATACCGAAGCAGCACCATCCTATAGACTGCATGTTGTCTTTATGGTTCATACAAAACAAAAGTGGATGTAAAATGTGGCCTTACGTGCTGCTGTCACTGTGCTTACTGTGGCACGTTGTTTATTCTCACTGCTGTAAGCTTTAGCTTTTAATGGGAAAGGTTTTCCTGCTGTGAGTATAGAGGCGTGCTATGCATCCAGGAAATATTTCTGTTGGAGTATTTAGGAGGCATTTGTTTACTCCTGAGAATAAGGAAACAAGCTACAGAAACTTTGTGATGTGTATTTGAAAGCTTTTCCTTCTGTGGAAGGTTTTGAAAGCTGAAACTTGACTCACAAAGTGGTCTAGCTGAGAATAGCTGCAAGTACATGTTCCTGTATTTTTAAAATGTGGAAGATATTGTGAAGGGTAAGATTGAAACAGTGTTGTGGGGTTTTTGATGAATGGCGGATCTTTGAGCTAGAGACTTAAGGCAACTGTTGGTCAAAACCTAGTTTTTGTGCTTTGCAAGAGCTACACAAAGTTTGGTGGGTGGGGGACGAAGACTAGAGAATGAGGCTATAACGTATTTTCCACCTTCCAAAGGCCCCTTGCAAAGCTCCTCTGTTAGCAACTTTCTCATGCTGCAGTGACTTTTTCAGAGGTGGCCTGGCAAGTTGTCACCGCATGCTAGAGCTTATTTGTTTTCAAAAAAAATTGCACAAAGGTTCTACGGTCAGTTCGGTGTTAGACAACCTCTTTATTTCGTTGATCAAAACAGAATCCATCCACACACCCTGCTTTGCGTGTTTGTGAGTGAAGTGGGGAATGTTGGATATATGCTTCTGTGTTTCTCTATTAATGCTTTTTTAGTATTTGTTTTGAAGTATGGACAGTATTATGACTGTCATGCAGAAGTACTGAGAATAATTGGAACAGTTTGGCTTGTTAACTGTAATTTTCTCAGAAGCAATCAAGTTCTACTTTATTTTATATACCATTTGTAGTTTCATGTAATATTACTAGAGTGGAAAATTGATAAAGGTCACATTGTATGTCCATGAGTAATGTCTGATATTTCTAAAAGACAAAATGGTTCAGATTTGCAAATCCTTTATTATGTTTTGCTCAGTAAAGGTAAGGAGCTTGCTTTTATGTTCAAATTGTGTACTTTGGAATTACAGAAAACTTATGTTTTGCCAAGCTAAAGGGAAAACTTCAGATACTCTTTTTAGATGTCTTTTCCACTGCAAAATGCTGTATCTGACTTTGTTTTATTACCTTATTCTGCATCCTTTTCTCTTAGGACTGGATGAAAGCTCTGCAGATGTTTTGCAGTTTAAGAAAAACCAGTCCAGGAACTTCAAATAAACGTCTACGTCAGGTGAAGCTGATGTTACGGGGTTGGTGGTACATAGGGAGGAGTGTTTTGTCTCCCTGTTGCAAAACAATACGGATAAATTTCACAATTTTACTTTCAACAGTAGTAAATCCTGCATGTATTTTCTTTTCTTTTTTGGAGTTACGCAGTAGTACCCTTGTGAAACCAACTAGAATGATCTACAGTTTGTTATATTATCTATATACATAAAACCCAGAATGGCTTTTGGCAATCTGCACATGCTTTGCTAGGTATTAATTTCTGACCACATTTGAGTAAAAGAAGTCAAGAGTTTGTGTCGTCTTAACTTTTAAAATTTAGCACATCTGGGAAGCTTTAAAAATTTGACAGAATTATGTGACATGTACACAAAATACATGTTTAACTTATGTTACTCCTTTTCAGTAACAAATACACGCTGAACCATGCTTGTGGCTTAATTTCTCTCAGTGTTTTGGAAGTGCTGTGTTTGCCAGAATTTCCTCAGGGGTAGAGAACAAATAGTCATAGATGTCTAAGTCTTTGGAGAATAACAGTAAAATACTTCAAGAATCCCTGATATTTTTGATTGATAGGAGTGTTTGATCTGTGGATAGGAGTGTTTGATATGTAGTTTTAACAGACAGTGGAGAAAGGAATAAAACGGGATGTTTTTCAGGATGCACAACTGTTCTGTAGTTAACATTAAAAGATGTTTGGATACTTCTGAATTAATGAACTAAATTAGGTGAATTCACAGATAAAGTCACAGGTGAAACTGGGGGCTTCAAGCTGCAAAAGCAAAGCAAAAAAAGTGACAACTGAAATAATTCTTTACTTCAAAAAGTGAAGAAAATGCTCATCTATATAAAGGAATAGAATGTAATATGTTGCACACAGGAATCCTACATAATCTATTAGTAAAGCACCAAAAAGCCATTGTGTTTGGAATTGTCCATGGCTCCTACTCAAGGTGCAAGTCTTCGATTTCATTAAAATTGTGCATAGAAAAGCTAGTGTTTACAAATCCTAATGTCTCTCAGATAATTTTAAAAGAAGAAAATAAGATGCTTTAAAAACATTGGGGCTCAGGATTTGTTTTCAGTAATTATTTGAGTTACTCTTATTTTGTCACCTGTGCCCCTTAAAATGTTGTTCCCTTACTTCTGTTCCTTGCTTTTCTTCTTAGGAAATTTTGATTTGTATTCAGTAGTCATACATTAAGTCTCTGCACAGAGGATAAAAAACAATTCACGTGTTTCGTATTTCTATTTTAACAACAAAAAGTAAATTTTGTGTGTTTGTGTTTTCTTTTTTTTAGGTCAGCAGTCTTATTTTGCATGTAGAAGAAGCTCATACGCTCCCAGTAAAGCATTTTACTAATCCGTATTGTAACATCTACCTGAACAGTGTTCAGGTAGCAAAAACACACATCAGGGAAGGGCAGAACCCTGTGTGGTCAGAAGAATTTGTCTTTGAGTAAGTCTTAATCTCCTTGAATTACTGAATTTTACTTGTAAGTTGCATTGCATTTAAGAGTCTTAACTCTGCACACTGTTTTGCATATGCTTTTTAAAAATACTGTATGTGTGGTTACACAGCAGCAACCTTTCAGCCAAATTCTGCACGGGTGGAATTTTCTGTAGGCACCTAAATATCTTTGTTAATATAAGTGTCGTTGGCTGATAATGAGAACTCAGGATTTAAATGAGTTTAGAATAAGCTTATATGCCAGCCAAGTATAGTATTAATTGAGGCTTTCTGTCTTTTCTCCTAGTGATCTTTCATCTGATATTAATAGATTTGAGATAAGTCTTAGTAACAAAACAAAGAAAAGTAAAGATCCAGATATATGTAAGTATTTTTTTGTAAAAGATGCCTATGTGTTGCAGCAATGGATACTCTCTGTGGTTTTCATTACTCTTGTCAAACATTGTCACAAGGGAATTAAGTATATTTTTATGCTTACCATACTGCTGTGTTTGTATGTTTTGGATGTCTGGTACTGGCTTCCCATTAATTCTTTTACAATGAGAACCTGCATGTTTTATTAGTAATAAAATGCACGGTAATCCAGTCCTGTGTATCTGATGGCTTTCCTAGCTCTGTTGTAGAGTAGCCATTGTGTTATACAATGACTGTATTTCCCAAAAGCAAGAGGAAAGAAAAGCCGTCAGTATTAGTCTGCTCCATAAAATGCTAAGTTCCAGAGTTTTAAGTCTTATTGCATGGAATTTCTTCTCAGGTTTTTGTGTTGATTTCAGTGAGAAAGGGAGGGAAGGTGTAGTACTTTCATCATGGAAAAAAAAAATTTTTTTTAAAGATCTTGGTGGTCTCTGAACAAAATTTGCCTTGTTTTCTTTCAGTTTTACCTCATCTGTCTACTTTCCTTTTACCACTCTTGGGCTTAAACTTGAAGTTACCTCAGTACTGCTCTGAATGAGAGAGGACCCATATTTCCTTTTGCCTTTTATAACATCCCAAGGATTTATTTTCCTTGTGTTCCCCAGACAGCTGCTTCTTTAACTGAGGTTTTGTTTCTGTTCCTGCAGATGGTACCATCTATCAGCTTTCTATGAAAGAAAGGGTTTGAAGAATGTGGATTCTGAGCTCTTGAGACAGAAGAAGTTGGGGTTTATTTATTTTGTTTTAAAATTTTGTTCTCTTCCCACACAATGTTTTTAGGTTCTTTTTTCTCTTATTCAAGGTATCTTGTTTCCCACCATACTTGTTCTGGAGCAACTTCAGCCCCCAACCTCCTCTTTGCTGCCTGCAGGGCAGGACACCCTCCCCACCCCTTTCAAATTTGTTCCAAGATTTTTTTTCTCTTCCATTGTGCTCAGAGCTGTCTGTTTGAAAGCCTGTCGGAGTATTTATAATCTATTGCAGTTGTTTTCAGTTGGCACATACTGCGTTACTGGCCTGTTAACATATGCCTCAGTGCTCATTTCTTGATTTTCTTTTTTTTTTTTTTTTGAAACCTTGACCAAAGTAGAAGAATTACTACTCATTTTGAATGCTTTCGCAGAACCTTCTTCAATTAAAAACCTCTTTCTCTTTCCTCTGACTAGAAAACTTTCTGCATAGCAGGAGGAAAAAAAGATACATTCCCTCTGACAGACAAAAGGGCTGTAATTGCAGTTCTGACCATGTTCTTGTGCTGTTCTTTTATTCATTTGAGCTGGAAAAACCATTATCTATCTACACCAAGACTCTGGTTAGTAAAAGAATCTTTAAAAGGATAATTCTCGAATGGAATGCCTTAGTAACTTCTCTCAAAATGCTTTTGTAGTTTCTTCCTCTGTGTCCAGATGAAGGAGGTTGTGTTAGCTTTGGATGCATGCAGATGGTGGGAGGTGATAGGAGGTTTCTTTATCTAAGTCAGGAGGAGGATTGCCTGACTTTCTTGATTGCAGTTAGGTACACTTGTGACAGTCCTTTCATTTTGAGGTAAGGATTAGACTAAGTCAACTTGAATGAACACATCTCTCTGCTTACATCCCCAGCCCCATTACCTATGTGAAGTGCAGGGGGGAAAAAATGAGCTAAACCAGACCTTATCTAACCTACTTCTGCACTGCCTAAATAACCCTTGAACTCTCCAAAGCAAGAGAATTGGTTCCTTTCCTGAACATTCTCTTTTTCAGCCACAGCTCCTAATTGTGGACTGCTGTGAAGTGGGAGTCGTGAGGCTTGTACTATTCATCTTCCCAGTTAATTGGGTTGTCAGCTTTTCTGCTTGCTTTTCCCACAATGTAATGCAGATTGAAGGCCCAGAACTCAGTTATTGGTCTCGATGCTTTATTTCTTCCATCGTAGCACACACAAGTTAAATTCCAAAACGATACTAGCATGAAGGCTATTTTTTCAGTATTTTAAAATATTTCATCAGTTTTCAAATCTTTGACTTTGAATTTTGCCTATTACGAGTATTCCATAATGATTTGAGTATTTTTGTTTTTAAAAAGTATTGCAAATAGAAATTACACTAAACAGTTAAGTATCAAGTCCATTTAAATTTTTGTTTCTCTAACTGTAAATTGCATAAGGATTTATTCAAATAAATGTATATAATATGGTTTGCGAAAGGTAAAGCCCTAGAATGTATTAGTGGACTTCACCCGCTGCTACTGCAAAGATGATGCCCAGGTATGATTGTAGACAGTTGAATTAGTAAATCTCTCAGGACAATACCACACAGTGTTGAACTGGAGTGGAAGTTCTGATTTGGTTTGCACCATGATAGTTGGTTAATTTCAAATTAGTTCATGTTGGAAAAAAAAAAAACAAACATTTTTATAATGGAGGCAGTCACCTCATGCAGACAAGTCCATAAAGCGAAGTATTAGCCAATGTCTTTCCTTTCAGGTACAGTTATTTGCTGTAGTGCCAAAGCTTGTTTTTGAAACTGATGGCTGAGATTATAAAATGGTCTGTGCTAACATGGCACTGACGTGTGGGTGCAAAAGGCAGGATTTAGTATGTCGACGTATTGAGCAATTTCCTCTTCCTCAAGATCTCAAATAGTTTTTATTCTGAATCAGTAATTAGAATTTTTTTAGCGTTGTTCTGATGGCTCCATGTTGTTCTGATGGCTCCATGTTGTTCTGATGGCTCCATGTTGTTCTGATGGCTCCATTTTGTTCTGATGGCTCCATTTTGTTCTGATGGGCTTAGACAAAGGCTTCAGAGTAAACTCAGGTTCATTTCCTGGCTGAGGATTGGAACAAACCTAAGGTTGAACCACTTTTCACTTTGATTCCCAGGTTATAATTATTAACAATCAAAATACAATCTTGTTACTAAATATTATGTAGTTTCATTAGCAAATAAGCCGTTAAGAAACCTCAGCCTTTTTTTTTTTTTTGTACTGGTATTCGTGTGAAATATTGTGGGGTTTTTTTTGTTTGTTTTTTTTTTTAATTAAGACTGTTGTCAGGAGAATTCTTACCTGTGTCTAGAGAAAAGAGATCAACTATTGTTTGTTTTGATGGTTTTCTGTATAATTGTTTCTCTTTTAAAATGTGCTAGATTGCAAAGTTGTAAATACCCTGAATTTTTCAGCTAACAGCAGTGTCTTACTGTAGCCTACTAAGGTAGCCTACTTATTCAGTGTAAGCTCCTAAACAGAAAAAAAAGTCTTGTTCCTTTCAAGTTACTAAATATAAATTATGGTAGCAAATATTGTGCAGCCCTTGTACAGGTATCTCTATTCTGACCTTTTTTTCTTTTTTTAAATCAAAGCAAGATTATAGTGTTTATATTATGGCGGTGAGGTGCTACTATAACCACAGGGAAAAAATTAAATCATCAATTTATTCTAGATCCTTGTCCTGGTTTTGGCTGGGGTAGAGTTAATTTTCTTCCTGATAGCTCTATAAGTGCTGTGGTTTGGGTTTGGGATGGTGAGCAATTGTGCTGTGCATCACTTGTTTTGTATATTCTTTCATCATTTCTATTATCATTATTATTATTCTCTTTTTTTTCTGTCCTGTTAAACTGTCTTTATCTCAACCCACAAGTTCTACTTTTTTTCCAATTCCCCCTCACATCCCACTGGGGATTCATTCACCATTCCTCTCACTGACATATATGTGCCTTACATGTGCAAGCAAAATAAGAAGAAAACCACATTTCTTAGTTGCGGGTACAGGAGCTTTGGTGCTGGGAGAAATATTCTAGAAAAATCAATTGATTATCTGGTCTAAAGACATTGTCCCATCCACACTGGTGATAAGTAGCAGCTGATGATGAATTGTTTCTCACACTTCTTGACTGATTTAAATGTATTAGCTTGTATCAGTTTATCAACTCCAAAGAATATGAAATAGGCAACAGGAGTGTCCTGAAGTGAGCATTATAAATGCGATGTTTTTCTTTTCCAGTATCAAATGATATCCTGCTATGTATTGGAACGCTGGGGCAACGGGAAATCTACTGGAACTGTTGACAATTTCTGCAAGGCAGTGTGGCATATGGGCTTTGTGGAAACGTGGCAAAAAAAAAAAAAAACTTCTGTGGTTTTTGGGTTGTTTTTATGTGAGGAACTTTAAAGCAGATCTCATTGAGAGGCATGGAAAGAGAGGGTATTTGCTTGAAAGATCAAGACTGACAGGCTAAGTGTGAAATTTCATCTGTGTTTCACAGGCACAGTGTTGCCTCTGCAAGTGCCTGGGCCCTTTCTGTGCCGAGTAACTCCGCTCAGGAGCATGTGTGCCGGCACCGCATCGGCCTCTGCTGCCACCGCTGCAGCTTGCTAGCCAGCTGCTGGGTCAAACTTCAGCTGCAGTGCGGGTCATTGCTTGGCAATTTCAAGTTACCGACACCACCGAAAAGTCAAGTCAAACATTTGACTGTTCTTCAGTTGACTTTCATCATTATCTAGGTAGCAAGCTGATTAGGAAGACTTTTTTAGGTAATTTTCATGAACTGTTACAGCCTTAACCTGAGAGTTAGTATAAAAGAAATACACATGGCAATGTTTGGGAAAGCCATAGCAACACTATAATAATAAGTAGTGAGAACTAGCAAAGTTGTCAAGGAGCAGACCTGATGGTGGCATCAGCCCAAGGCTGGAAAGAGGATAGTGAATTCTGAACACTTCATTTATTTTTAGTTTCTGACTGCTACCTGGATTTGCAGGGTAGCACTTTTCACTTATTACTTGGGTGTTACAAAGAAAACTGTCAATATCCATGCGGCGTTTTTGAAAGTATATATATACATTCTTTACAGAATGCTTTATATTTCTTCTTTAGTTCACAGCATTCTGTTAAACCACTGAAGAGCGAATCTGTCAGTATATCGATGGCAAAAATTTTCATTACTCTTACCAATACTGTTTTGCTGAAACAAGATGGCATGTGCTGGAAATAAACTATTTTTTTGTTCAATAGCAGCACTGTTTTACTGGAGATAACTTAAACAATGCTTTTTTTTCCTTAAGTGTTTATGCGTTGCCAATTAAGCCGATTACAAAAAGGACATGCAACAGACGAGTGGTTTCAACTCAGTTCCCATGTACCATTAAAAGGTATTGAGCCAGGATCTTTGCGTGTTCGAGCACGATATTCTATGGAGAAGATCATGCCAGAAGAGGAGTACAACGAATTTAAAGAGGTATGAAGTTGTTTAACTTCCCTTATTTATCTGTCAAAACTGATTTTGCTTGAGACAGATCTCAATAACACTGGTTGACATACAAATATTTATAGTGACATCTGTATATCACTACAGATGTATGAAATCAGTTTTTCCAAAGCTGTTTGTTCTGATTTCAGCTGGGATAGAGTTAATATTCTTCGTAGTAGCTGGCATAGTGCGGCATTCTGGATTTGGGATGAAAATACCATTGATTACACGCTGATGTTTTCATGTTGTTGCTGAGCAGTCAAGGACTGTCCAGCTCCTCATGCTCTGCCCCACGGGCGAGCAGGCTGGGGGTGCCCGGGGAGCTGGGGGCGGCACAGCCGGGACAGCTGACCCAGGCTGGCCAGAGGGGGATTCCGGGCCATACGGCATCAGGCCCAGTATATAAACTGGGGGAGTTGGCCGGGGAGGGGCCACGGCTCAGGAACTAACACTGAGCATCAGTCAGTGGGTGGTGAGTAACTGTGCTGTGCATCACTTGTTTTGTATATTTTATCATTATTATATTTTTTCTGTCCTTTTAAACTGTTTTTTTCTCAACCCACAAGTTTTACTGTTGTTTTCAATTCTGTCCCTCATCCTGCTGGGGCTGGAGGGTGAGCAAACGGCTGCGTGGTTGTTTTAGCCCCCTGCCAGGTTAACCTGATGACACTTGTATGTTAGGAAAAACTTCTGAGTATTTTAAAATTCTGTTTTTCTTTCAGCTTATACTCCAGAAAGAACTTCATGTAGTCTATGCCTTATCACATGTTTGTGGACAGGACAGAACACTGTTGGCTGGCATTTTATTGAAGATTTTTCTTCATGAAAAGCTTGAGTCCTTGTTGTTACGAACACTAAATGACAGGGAGATAAGCATGGAAGGTACTGTATGAAATTACACTGAAGTTTACTGGAACTCGGGTCAAGTCGTGAGGGAAGGGCTTCCTTTTTTTCTCCTCCTTCAGTTGAGTTATACATTGATCTATCTAAAGTGTAAACACCACACATTTTTCCTCTGTTTTTTGTTGTCTCCTTTTCTCAACTTTCTACTTTGCTGTCTTTTTTCTCAGATGAAGCTACTACCTTGTTTCGTGCCACCACCTTAGCAAGTACACTTATGGAGCAGTACATGAAAGCCACAGCCACAAGTTTTGTTCACCATGCACTGAAAGACTCTATATTAAAAATAATGGAGAGCAAGCAGTCCTGTGAGGTGATAACTTGAACTATGTTTTTAAACATTTTCATTTGTTGACACAATTAGCTACCGGTTGTTACGCTTTTATGTTTTATGTTTGTGTTAAACATTAGCTTAAGACACATTTAGTAATCTCTCAGAACTCAAAGTTGTTTACGTGAGAAATACAGAAACTGTATCCATGAACAGATTTTTTTTTTTCCCCCTAGATTTTTGGCTTTTAACAGTATTCGTAGTAGAACTTAAGTTTTTTTAATTAAAATTTCCTTAAATTATCTACTCATTCTTTAGCTATTGTAGGCTGTTCTGTAGCAGTTACCAAATATCCTAACCTAAGTAACTTCAAGATGCCGCAGAAGTCAATGTCTGAACTTTACTTTTAACTTAAAACTTCCTGGTATTAAGTCACAGACTGGTTTGGATTGGAAGGGACCTTAAAGATCATCTAGTTCCAACCGCGCTGCCATGGGCAGGGACACCTTCCACTAGACAGGTTGCTGAAAGCCCCATCCAGCCTTGGCCTTGAACACTTCCAGGGACAGTGATTGCTACTGAACCTGAAACTGTTTTTAAAATGACCCTCCTGTGTTTCACATTAACTGTGGAAAGGATGGGAGTCCTCAGAAATTTGGATTGAGACAAAAAGCTCATGCAGGTGGTAAATATCTGAGCTGTTAAAATCCTAGTGTATCAGAAATTAAAGCCACTGCTTCTTCACATTTCCCAACCAGCCGCTGAAACTGACTCATGAGTTCTCTAAGAGACTTGTACAGCAGCAGAATATTTAATTTACTTTGAAGTTGTGTTCAGTGTTCAATATTACGGAACTATGTATGTAGTTCTAGTTAGGAGAATAAACATAATCTTTTTCTTTTTGTTTTAGTTAAATCCCTCAAAGTTAGAAAAAAATGAAGATGTAAACACTAATTTGGCACATCTACTCAGTATACTTTCAGAATTGGTGGAGAAAATATTCATGGCTGCAGAGATACTGCCTCCGTAAGTTTGCATTTTTCTGTTCAGATTTGTATTTGAAAACTCCTGTTTGCATGAATTACATTGCACCTTAAAATTGTGTTCTTACTGGTTCATCTTCTGCTCATCAGTCATAAGACTAATGTCTCTAGGGTTGTTGTATGCATGCAGAGGAATATAGATGGGGGGAAAAGAATAACACCTGCAGGAATTGATAGTACTTTTTGCAAAAGCCTCTGGCTAGCACACGTGCTGTTCTTTGAAAGAGAAACTACTAGACCCAACAGGTCAGGGAAAGAAGAGTAAGAGAAGTAATCAATCTCATATTTCCAGAAAAATACAGAATACAGTAGTAGTTAACAGACAATTATATATATTTAAGTTGATTACAAATTCACTTCAGTCCTCCTCCTCTGAGAGAGAGAGATGGAATTATTAACAGCATATTAAAAATACAAAATTTTTAAACAACCAAACCACCAAAATTGTCTTTTTAAAAAGGAAATACTACTTAACAGGAAACACAGTTACAATCCATTTAATGCACATCTGAATAATCACTGAGTTGCACACAGAATTGCGTATTAATGAAGGTTTTTCCTTGCCATTTGTAAATTTACTTTTTAATATAAATACACAGATTTATAAAATTACACTTTAGCAATTTATTAACTTACAAACTAACTTAATTAATTTAAAGCTTATGTCTCAATTGGAAATGTAGAATTGGTAATAGTTCTGCATCAAGTAGGAGGCTGGTCTAGATCCTTTCTGACCAGCTTTTTTGATTCTGTAAGTTTAATGGAATGAGTAAAAAGTAGCTATTGTTTTTGCAGGACATTGAGGTATATTTATGGGTGCCTACAGAAGTCTGTTCAAAACAAGTGGCCAGCTAATACCACCATGAGAACCAGAGTTGTTAGGTAAGTTGTCACTTTATTCTAAAAATAATCTTTTCAAATCTTTTTAAAGACATACTCCAGTGTGTTTATCTATGTTTCTTTCAGTGACAAAACTGTATAGTACTTACACAGGCTATAGCAGTATTCAGGATACTTATGCTGAGGCATGATATCCCAGTTAAGGATTATGTGCTTGCTAGATTCCTAATCATGTTCTTAGAGCCTTGCCAGAGTAAGATGATGTAGTATAGAGGTCAGTATGGCTTTATTTAATAGTTTTAACTTGGAATTTACTTGTGTTGTGTCAAGTTTTGCAAACTAATCTAAAATAGCAATTTCCTTTTTCATGCTGGGAAAGAAAAACTTCTTTCAAAGCAATAGTTAACTTCTGTGATACCTGCAGAGAGCAGTGACCTCTGAAGGTCATGCTCCTGCCATATGCCATCTGGGAGGACTGTGCCTTACCCAGGGACTTGTATGTAATGTGTGTTAATTGCTGGAGAAATCTTCTGTGGCTTAAGATCCATGCCCTTTAAAATGCAGACCCAACACAGTAAGGAATCGAATACCTTCTCATAAAGACAACTGGACTGTTGTTAAATTTTGCTGAGGTGCTGTCTGCGTTAGGATATGTAGTCTTCTGCATCAGAGAAGGCTCCCAGTCACTGGTGTTGGGCTGCTGGTTGTGATCACTCTGAATCAGTGCTCTGTGTTGGCTTCCGAAAACACGTAATCCTATGCTGTCCAAGTTCTGTTTCGTTTCTCTGCTCCAGCCCAGTCATGCTGAAACATGCCAGAGCTCCTCTAAAAATCTTGCAGGAGGTTACTGAACCTGACTCCTCTGAACTCGCACCAGCCACAAAAACTCCAATGAGCATTCATAAACCAGTGCAGTACACAAGTTCTTCCTCTAACACTGTCCGTTGCCAGTGCTGGTCAAACAAAAATCTTTGACAAAGACGTGGTTTTGACACTGTATTTCTAAATGCTACTGGGGGGGGGGGGGGGTTCATGTTTACGTATTTCATACTATTTTT